GGGGGAGGAGGGAGGAAAGGAGGAGGCTTGAGGGAAGGAGGGAGTAGGGGAGGAGGAAGGAGCGGAGGGAGGAGGGAGGAGGAATGGAGGGAGGAGGGAATGGTGAGAGGAGAGATGAATGCAGGGAAGAGGGAGAGGTGAGGGAATGGGGAAGGAGGAAGGAGGGAGTGGACGAATGTGGGGAGGAATACTCATGGCGGTACTGGGGCCGCGCTGGAGGGGCAGAGAGGAGCCCCTGTGGATTTGGGCCCCACTGTGGCTCCTACCTCATCCCCAGCTGAGCCCTGTGTCCCTGGGTGCCGTCACCTGGAGAGGAAGTTATTGTCCTCTAGGAATAGCCTCTTAAACAAACGCTGTTGTGATTATTGACACTTACTTGGATAAATTCAGGTTAAATTTTACTTTTTAAAAATAAAGTCTTTAAAAGTTGTGAGATGGGAAATGTGGCCGAGAGGAGAGAATCCCCTGGATTCTGAGATGCTGAGCTAGTTAGGAGCCGGGCCTGCGGGAGGGGTGCTCTGCAAGGCGTGGGCGTGGCTGCCCTCACCTGCTGCTGGTGTGGGGCGGGGACTGTCCCTTCGAGCCAGCGAGCGAGCGAGCGACAGTGCAGGCAGCATCTTCAGTTCCTGAGAATACGACCATGTAGTTAGGGTGATGGTGACAGTGGCTCCCGTGCTTCACTGACTGTGTCCCCACCCGGCCCTGAGCTCACGCTGCGTTATCCTCATGTCCGGCTGAGAAACCGAGGCCCCAGGTCACACCGACGAGAGCAGCGCCAGGCTTTTCACGCAGTTCTGACTCGGAACTCGTGCTCCTTGCTCTTACGCTCGGCTGTCCACAGATGAGAACTTGCCAGAAGCATGCTTTTGAGTCAGAGGTGTGCATGTGCGAAAGCCTCGGCCTGCAGAGCCAGCCGGGCGTGCCGCCCGGGAGCCTGGTGGGGCCGCTCCTCCTGGATGAGGACGAGGGCGCCTGCTGGTCCCATACACCCACCTTTAAGGGTGTTAGCTTAAAGACAGTCTTTCCAATCTCAGAGTGAGAAGTGATAGCTCTTGTTTTTTGTTTTGTTTTGCTTTGGGTTTTTGGCACTTCTGCTTCCCGGTGTGGCAGGGTGTGGTTCCTGCAACGGAGATCGGTTGGCCGTTCTCCAGGGGGGTCCTGGCTGTGAACATGTGTGTGGTTATGTGGGGGCTCTGTGGACCCGCGCTGCTAAACAGGCAGGGTCTGAAGCACCTGGAAGCCGCCAGACCCACTAAGGAGGGGTCATTTTGGACACCTCTGCTCCCAGAGCCGGTCACGCCTGGTGCCGTAGACGCAGAAGAATTCCAAAAGTCGGGACCTTCGTCTGGTCCCACGCGCCTGTTTGGGTGTGAGAAGCACTAGTTGAGAGGGCAGGTGACTTTACCACGGCCTCCGAGGCCCAGCTGGGCCTGGGGGTGGCTGTGGTCCCACCATCCCCCTGAGGGCCTCACTGGTGCTTGGGCTCAGGCAGAGCACCGAGGGGTGAGCTGGGTTGGCAGAGGGAACCGGGTCAGGAAGGTCCTGGTGCTGGGTCTCACCAGCCCGGTCCTGGTGTGGACCCTCACAGTCGGGCCTCAGCCACCCCGTGACCCTGCTCCCACCCGCCACCTGTCTTCCAGCCACGCTGAAGCGCGATGTTCCCAGCCCCGGCTGTGTGTGGGGGTCTGTACTCTGCGTTCTGGGCCTGCTGTGCCTCCAGCCTTCCCTGCCTGGTTTACACCTCCTTCCTGAAGCTCTCGCCGGGGACGGGGTCTGCTCTGTGTCCCCAGCCTTGTTCTGTTGCTCATTTTCCATCGTTCTTCCCACAGAAGGGGGGGCTCCAGGAGGGTGGCTGCCGGGCCTGTTTGTGAATCCGTGGCGTTTACTTGGTGAATCGGGTGCACTTTATTAAAGAATTTGCGGGAAAACCCGAGAGGACTTAGGTTTTCAGCAGGTGAGCTCTGCCTTGGCCGCCCTCTGACTGCCGCTTTCTCTGCAGCATCTCCTTCGCCAGGGGCGGCCGGCCGTGCAGGTCTCGCACGAGCTCGAGGTCGTGGCGACCGAATATGAACAGGACGTGGTGGTGAGTGGGGACGTGACCAGGCTTGGCAGCATCCAGCCCATCGGCGTCTACGCGGTGGTGAAGGGCTGGCTACACCTGACCCTGGCCAACATAGGTAAGAGGCCCCGTAGCTTTGCCTGGCCTTGTGCCGTCTCCCGGGTGGACGCTCATTTTCCCAGGGCGCATGAGCTCCCTCGTGGCCGTATCGTGGGCATCACGTAATCAGTAGGAATTGAGAAAATCTCTCACGTCTGACCACTGAGTCTGCCCTCAACCCCTGGGCATTTGTCCTTGACTACTCACTGAGCATCTGACCATGAGCCTCTGTCCTTGACTGTGCGTATCTGTCCTTGACCACTGAGCACCTGTCCTTGACTATGAGCCTCTGTCCTTGACCATGAGCCTCTGTCCTTGACCGTGAGCCTCTGTCCTTGACCGTGAGTATCTGTCCTTGACCACTGAGCACCTGTCCTTGACCATGAGCATCTGTCCTTGACGACTGACCATCTATCCTTGACCACTGGACATCTGTCCCTGACCGTGAGCATCTGTCCTTGACCACCGGGCATCTACCCTTGACCATGATCATCTGTTCCTGACCACTGGACTTCTGTCCTTGACCACTGGGCACCTGTCCCTGACCACTGGACACCTGACCTTGACCACTGGGAATATGTCCTTGATTACTGGGCATCTGTCCTTGACCCCTGAGCCTGTCCTCGACCACTAGGTCTGCTCTTGACCCCCGAGCCTGTCCTGGCACCAGTTGTTTGGTGTTCCTGATTTCTTTTTTTTTAAACCTATTTTTTTAAACGTTTATTTATTTTTAAGAGAGAGACGTGCGCGCATATGTGAGCGGGGGAAGGGCAGAGAGAGGGGGACAGAGGTTCCAAAGTGGGCTGTGTGCTGACAGCAGAGAGCCTGACACGGGGCTCAGACTCCTGAGCCGTGAGATCGTGACCTGAGCTGGAGTCAGACGCTCAACCGACTGAGCCCCCCAGGCACCCCTGGTGTTCCCGATTTCTGATCATCTCAGCCTTGGCCATGTTTTGTTTCTTGGTGCTGTCTATGGGGCATCCCTGTCACAGAGATGAAATGCCTGGTTTCAGGAGAGATTTTCATCTAGAGCATCAGCCCGTAGAATTACCTCATCACGAGAGAGGCAAGAAGTGTTCCTCGACCTCCATGCAGCTTGGGGATGAAACACACTTCTTTAGAGCCTAGCGCCCCGACCTTCTTCTGACGGTGTCCCAAGGGTTGCTCCCCAGAGACCCTGAGCGCAGCCCGGATGCTCCTCCGTCCTCGTGTGGGTAGCAGGGCGCTGGGCTGTGCTGGGCGGGGCTACGGTGGTCCCGCCTGGACGTTCTGGAGGCTCCACCGAGGCCCTGATGGACAGGACGTTGGGCCGGGCACGCCTACCTGTGCCCCCCGCAGGGAAGAGGGCCGGAGTGAGGCCTGTGGGGCCGGAGGGCAAGCCCACGCGGTCTCCCTTGAGGGGCCTGTGGAAGGATTGGGGTTTTTTGGGGTGAAATGGCGAGCAGGATGGAAGCAAGCCATTTGAGGTTTCTGGAGCCGTGTCTATCTAGATGAGACTCAAACCTCTCTCGTTTTATTGGGGAATTTTCCATTCCTCAAAGCCCAGCCCGACTTTAAAGCCTGGAGCCCCATGGGCCCCATCCGGCCGTGCGGGCGGTGCAGAGGCGGGCGGGCTGGGGCAGCCGCAGCAGGAGGAGGGCACAGCTCATTAAGTCAGGTTGGAGGTTTCTGCCTGCTTGTTTACAAATGTAGGATCCGAGGCAGCCTTGAAAACAGACAATATGGAAACAGCAAAACTCAATTAGGTTCTGGAGAAATAAATGAGCCTCATGTGAGAAGCAGACATCATTCAGAAGCTCACACGAGCGAGGGAGCTGCGAGAGGCACTCTGTTTCTGAGATTGCGTTGGTTATTTTTATATTTATTCACCAGCCCACAAATGTGCAGTGACTCCGGGTTTTAAATCTTATCTTCAGAAGAAAGATTAGCTCCATTATATGTTATCTTAAATTGTCATTTCCCTACTTTGCCTGCAAGAGAGCGATAGCGCCTGAGGGGAGAGAGCTGGAGACGCTGCCGCGAGGCCGGGGCGAGGACGCAGAGGGGGGCTGACAAAGGACAGATGCCGAGCAGCACACTTGTGTCCGTGTGGCCGCGCTGTGGTTGCCTGTGTAAATTTTGCATTTTTCGGATAAAACAAAGAAGTGTCGTAGCTTTTGTTTCTTTATAAAACCGATTGTTCCGCGCCGAGCTGCAGGCACAGGCCTGCAGATCGAATGAGGGCCGTGTGAGCCTCCGGGGGACGGGAGCGGGGTCATTGCCGGTGTCACAGTGCCCGCTTGGCCTCTCCCAGATGGTGCTCCGTGGCTCTGCATTCCCAGTGCGTGGGGTGAAGCGCGAGGCCACGGGACGAGGGGCCCGTTCCGCGCCCAGGCCTCCCGTGAACCTTCCCGTGGTGGGGGTGGTGCTCCTGCCGGCGGCCTCTCGGCTCTGACGGGCTCCGTGATGGTCTCTGTGGCCTCGTTTGCCGTGTCTCTCGGTGATCGTGGGTCACGTAGGGATCGCGAGAGCCATGCTGTCCCGTCCCAGCGGTCCTGGCTGTGCGGTGTGGGTGTGGCTGTGGCTTATCGGGAAGCTCAGTTATCACTTGTATCTGCAGCCCTTCCTGGGGGCACCCTGGGAGAGTGAGGGGCTGCCCCGATCCCCAGCCCCGTGGGTGGATCCCCGGGTTGTCAGGGCCGAAGGAGGACCAGGTGGTGTGCGCTTTGACAGAGAGCCTGGACTTGGGGCTGGACAGTGGTGACATGCTCTGCGGCCGCCGCGTCGGGAGCCCTGCCCACCTGGAGGCCGTTTCTGCTCCCACAGCAAACATGTGGGTCCGCAGCTTAACCTAGTCTCCCTGAAGGGAAAGAAAACCCGCAGCAGTTTGAGATCGCAGACCGTGCCCGGAGGAGGCCTGTGTCTTTGCTGCGTCTGGGCCTTGAGGAAGCACGTGTACGTTCAGCTTATCCGGTTTATTGTCCCGCTTCCGAATGAATCACCGATGTGAACACAGATACCGTCAGAGGAAACGGTGGAGCTCAGGGAAGGCCCTTGTCCGTCCCGGAGGTGATCACGTGGTCCTGCTGGTCCCGCCCGCACACTCTGGTGACCGCACGCTCTGGTGACCGTCGTCCCTCCTCCTGAGAGGCGGGGCTCCAAGGACGCCGGCAGCCCCCGCGAGCTGTCTGCACCAGACCCCGCCCTGCATGTGCTCCCCGGGTTTCCGTGCGTCCCTCCCAGTGGAGCTGTCACCAGCGTGCGCGTTTCAGCAAGACTGCGGTGAAGGCCGCCTGGCCTGTGCTTCAGGGAGGGTCACAGACGGTTCCCAGCTTCCCTCAGGAGTGGCGTGAATCCACTGCCAGGTGACTGACAGAGCGGGTCCTCGGGGTGGGGTGGGGAGCTTGCGAGACCCTCTGGCCCCATGCCGCCCTCCTCACCAGGAAGAAACCGCGCTGAGAGCCAGGAGCCCCAGCTGGCGGCAGGAACTGGGCACCTGTGGCTGGCTGGCACCAGGGCGTTGAGGGTCAGACTTGGGGCTTGTGCTCCTGGGAGCAGGAGCTTGGCCCTGCTTGACCAGGCTGTGTGTCCCTGCCCATCTGTCCCCCTAGGGGCCCCGGGGCTTCTTGGGGACACTGCTGGTTCTGCCTTGTGGGGGTGTTCGACCAGCACCGGCCATGGTGACCTGGCCTGGTGGTGAGAGATTCACGAACGGGTGGAGAGCAAGCGGGGGGCCCGTCTTGCCTCGACTTCTGTTCTTCTTGGACTTGAGGGGACAAAGCAGCCCTGAGGCGTCAGCAGCCGCCGATCCCAGCAAAGGGATGTTGACACCAGGTTCTGTTCTTGGGGACAAGCATCACGAGCCTGTGACACTGGGGTAAACAGACCCCCGGGAGATGAGAGGAGTGTGTTTGGCAGGAGACTCACAGCTTCTGTCACAGAGGGTGGGCGGTGGGTGGACCCCTGTGGGCAAGTTCTCAGCTTCCCAGCAGAGCAGAGATGGAGAACATTCGGGGCTCCAGAAGCACGTTCTCAGGACACAGGGCCGGCACGAGTGGGATTGTCACCTTAGCGGCCGCCTTAGTGGCCGGACGAGTGAGGGGCCTGCTGCAGAGGAGGCAGTCCTGCTGTCCGGCGTGTCACAGTGACTTGGCATGCACCCGGCAGGCGGCGCCTGGGCTCCGGGACTGCTCTCTGCCTGCTGTGGGCAGGTGGCTTGACCCCTCGCTCCCCAGGCCTGAAGTGAGGTGCTGTGTCAGAGGAGGCTCCGCCCCTGCCCCAGGCGGTGGTCTCCCTAATGGAGCGTGGGAGGCCGCGGACGCGTCACTCATGCCTGCTGGGGCTGCTTGTGGAGCTGTGAGCACCTGTGGGCAGTAGGACGGGTGACCAGAAGCGGCTCCTGTTGCAGGAAGGCTGGGGGGAAGGCCAGTCTGGTTTGGGATGCTCAGAAGACGCTCAAGACGACTGAAGAATTTGCAAACGAGAAGGACGAAAGTCCCCAGAGGGGAGGACCCTGCTTACCGTTTATCGCCGGCCTCTCAACCACCCTGAGTGAGTCACTCCTTGATTTGGCCAGAGCTGGTGATCTGTCATTTTTGAATCCAGCATTTTCCTCCACGCCCAGGTTAGAGCCTTTGTCCTCGCTGGCCTCCTGAGAGTGGTCTGCTGTCACACCCACATCTTTGGGGTCCCCGGCTGCGCTTGCAGGGTCCAGCTGCTAATCCCCGGGGTCTGCAGGGGCGGCTGCAGCGGTGGCCCCATTGGTGGCCGGCAGAGACCACGTGACCTGCCTTGAAGGACAGGCGTTTCCTCCCCAGCCTCAGCTCTGAACCTGTCGAGAAGGAGACCCTCTGTCAGGCAGCTGGAGATGAAAATGTCACTTTTGTCACCACTGCTGAGGACCTGCGCACACCGTGGTCACGGGCGTGCTCGTATGCCCGGCTCCGGGCTCGCCCTTGAGAGCGGCCGCCTCTGGCAGAACAGAGGCAGAGGAGGGCAGAGTGGAGCCGGGAAGCCACTCTGTCCTGTCCTCCCCTGGGCAGAGTGGAGGCAGGGAGGGGGTACTCCCAGAGAGATCGCCAGGACGCCCCACACCTGCAGGTGTTACGCCCTGGCCAGTGGGATTCAGGGAAGCCAGCCGCACGAGTGTTTCGTTGGAAATCTGACGTCGTCAGCTGTGCTCTGCCTCCTTGCGGTGGGAGTCGTGTCCGGGCACCGAGGCTCCGTCCTCCCTCCCGGGAGAGATGTTTCTGCAGGCAAACACTCCTTGTCCCTGGGCCTCGCAGACATCGGCCAATTAGCAGCCTGGGCAGCTGTGCGGTGCCCTATGCCTCTGGGCTCGTGCCCCATCCCTCTGAAGCTCATGCTTCTGTCTGAGGCTTCTTTATGGGAACAGCTCCAGAAGATTCTAGCTTGTGGAGGCTCTTTTACCTTCAGAGTGTTGTCAGAGTTTTGCGGACGTGCACAGAGGCCTTCCTTGAGCAGGGTGACATCGGAAAGGCTGGCGCCGGGGTGTGACAGCCGTCCCACATCACGGGGCTGCTGGGAGATCACGACCTGAGTCTGAGCAGGCGCCCTGAGTACCTGCAGCTTGAGCTCGCTGTGGGGAAGCGGACGCGTCTCGCCCACCAAGCAGATTCGGGACCCAGCGTGCCATTTTGGGCTGTTAGCAGGCTGGGGGTGCGGACAGGCCCTTTGCAAACCAGAACTTCCTGCAGGGAATATTGATGTGTCTCATCAGACTCCTTTTCAGTGTTAATACCTTATGCTGGGGTGTTTTTTTTTTTTTTTTTTTTTTTTTTTTTTTTTTTTTTTTTTTTATGAAATTTATTGTCAAATCGGTTTCCATACAACACCCGGTGTTCATCCCAGCAGGTGCCCTCCTCAATGCCCATCACCCACTTTCCCCTCTCCCCCACCCCCCATCTACCCTTAGTTTGTTCTCAGTCCTCAAGAGTCTCTTATGGTTTGGCTCCCTCCCTCTCTAACTTTTTTCCCCATTCCCCTCCCCCATGGTCTTCTGTTAAGTTTCTCAGGATCCACATAGGAGTGAAAACATATGGTATCTGTTTTTCTCTGTATGACTTACTTCATTTAGGTCACGTGTGTGAGCAGAGAGGAAAGGATTCCAGCACGTTGCCACCCTCCAGGTCACGGGTCATCTCGAATGACAGAACCGGCCACTTCGAGGGAGGCAGCCTGCTTAGGCGCGGGGCGCCGAGACGTGAGTGGGGAGTGGGTGGGGGCAGCTGGGTCACTTGTACGTGAGATTGGTGTGGGGGTGGGGTGGAGTGAGGGCTGTGTGTGTGCGTGCATGCGCGCAGGTGCACGTGTGGGCCCGGGTGGGGCTTTGCCGTCCCTCTGGATCTGGGGCAGCGCAGTGGCCGTCGTGTCCAGCTCAGTGCCTGCCTGAGTGGCCGGCAGGCCGCCCCAGCACCCAGCACGCTGCAGACCGCACTCTGTGGAGGCTGTCTGCGCTGTTCTGTAGACAGATTCCAATCCTGCGAGTAGCATGTGTTTTTGGATAGCTGCCCATCTGCAGGGGAAGCGGAAACGAAGAAAAGGTCAGGATGCACAGAGACTGAGTTTTAAAAAGCAAATTTGAAAACCCCACATCGGGGAGAGGAATAAAGCATTATGGAGCCCGGGAGTAAGGCTGCACTTGCTGAGAATGTTGTTCACAGCAGGGAGCGTCCAGGGTTTTCCGTCCCCTTAGATAACCCGCAGACCTGGAAGCAAAGTAGGTGTCAGTGGGACGAAAAGCGGGGTGCGCCCTCTGGGCAGTGTCCCCATGTTGTAGGCCACCGGGTGTGGATCCACAACTGCCCTGCGCTTCCCTTGTGGACAGTCCTCTGATGCTGTTGGCCTTGAACTCGTGCCCCAGGATGAAGCCCCCGCTCCTCGAGGCCTCTGGGACCCCACGAGCTCCCTGAAACTCCAGCCAAGACTTTGTGGGTGTTTGTACGCTCTCCTGGGAGAGGGGCCCCAGGGCTCCAGATGCTCAGAGGGGTCTGAGAGCTGTGATCCAGTCAGGCTGAGAGGCGTTCCAGGCTTCCTGGTTGTAGTGTTGAAGAAACCGAGGCAGAGGAGGTCTTGTGATGTGGCCCGTTGAGTGGGTAAGGGTGGTGAACTTGGGTGGGGATCCAGACTTCCCACTTAGGGGCTGGTATTTCTCCATCCCTGGCCGGTCCAAGAACAGGCTAGGAGTATTTGTGAAAGGCACGGCCTTGGGACCCAGCAGGTCAGGGGCTCTGCCAGACAGCGCAGGCAGCTGTGACCGGTGAGGGTTTGTTGAGCGAATTGAGAGTCTCTGGAGTCATTGGTTCCTGACCTGGGGCCTGTTTGATCAAAGCCAGAGGATGGGGCGCTTCATCGGACAGCCTGTCTTCCCCCACCGGGCAAGGCTCAGGAAGTGGGACGTTGTGCAGAGTTTGAGGAAGTGCTTCTAGGCTCTCTGCAGTGCTGGAATCCCATTTCTGGTTTCTTCAGGACTGGGTGACGCAGTCTGACACGTGAGCCCGTGGATTAACCCCCAGCCTTGCTTGTCTCTTGCCCGTTTCCTCCCCTCGGGACTGTGGGCCTCAGGCCGCTCCAACCCTGCCCGGGTGGGGTCGCCCCCCGCACATGCCTGTACCGCAGACGTGAGAAACATTGTTTTGGGGTGGACATTTTACTAGTCTAAACCAACTCATGGCGTCTGCAAAGCAGCTAAACACCTTTAAAATAGATACTCACTTCCCGTGGGGTCTGCTGGTCCCAGGAGTCAGGGAGGGCCCAGTCCTAAGCTGGGTGCTCCTTCTCATCTGCCCACCTGCACCAGCTGAGTGGTGGTCCGGGAACCTCGTGTGTCAGCTTGTGACCTGGTGTGAGCCACGTGTGGCTTTGTCACCTGAGGGAGTGCAGCGCCCTCAGGCTCCTGCTGGTGCCTGGCCTATTTCGGCTTCCATTTGTCTGCGAACATGGCTTTCGTGTACATCCGTGGTTTGAGCAGAGGCCCCCAAAGGAGTCGGTGCCCTGGGGGCCCGGCTGTCTGGAGGCAGCCAGGTGCAGAGTCAAGGGCATGAGCTCTAGAGCCGGGTCTGGTCCGAGCCCCACCCACTCCTGAGCCACCTGGGGCTTCAGTCCAAGTGGGCAACTCCTCAGAGCCCCTGATTCCTGATGGGAGCTCACAGGTGGGTCTGAGGACCTGAGAGCGCAGAGTGGTGGATGTCCTGGGTGAGGGTGTCGGCAGCCCTTGAGAATCCAGGGAGCATCATCTTCTAGAACGCTGATCTTTTTCTCCTCTGGAAGATCATCTAATAGTGTATTAATTTGTCGGTAAGGACCAAGATCAGTTCCTTCATTTGAAAGGCTAGTAAAGGGAGGGAGGCAGGGAGGGACACCGTGGAGACCAGGTTATAGGATTACCATCTCCGTCCGTATCGCTGGGCTCCCTCCCTGGGTGAGGTGGCTTAAAGAACGTAAACTCTACACTTTAACTTCTTGCTCCCTGTTGAACCTTCCAGCAGTAAAAAACGTGGTCCAAGCACAGAAGCTGGCTGATGTGGACTGTGAATTGGCCGCCATGCTGTTTGTGCCCACGCAGCGCAGGAGCAAAGGGCCCCAGGGCGCCGGCCGCGAGGGGGACGCCGTCCGCAGGCGCAAGCTGGAGCGGATGAGATCCGTGCGCCTTCAGGAGTCCCGAGGAGAGCTCAGCTGCTGGGGGGCCAGCATGTTGGTGAGGGCTTCGTCCGTCCCCCGCTGCCCCCGGGGTGTCCCCGTGCAGGGTAGGGGGTGGGGGGCAAAGTCATTGTGAGCGAAAGCAGCCTTGTCCTTTGTCCCCTCTTCCCCCGCGTGGTTCTCTCTCTCCCTCCCAAATCCTACTTGTAGAATGTAGGGGAGATGCCCCTCTCAGCCATCAAGGGAGGTTTTCGAGCCAGAATTACCTGGAGAGCTTTGACAGAAGCCGATTCCTGGGTGGCACGGGCCGGGGGTCCTGGGAACCGGGGCTCTTCGGAAGCTCCGTGGGGGGTCCTGAGGGTCCCCCAGGTTTGGGGTCAGAGCTGCGAACGGTTTCCGTGTCTTGGGCTGTCAGTGCAAATCAACTGGTCATCCCGACCAGAAAACTTCCCTTTTTGGGCTAAAAATCTCAAGAAGAACCTGGTGTAAAATCGTGCGGCACCAAAATGACGGGAGGGTGGTTGTACCTGAAGGATTTCTGGAGTCAAGAAGCCGCAGGGATCTCGAGAAAGATGTTTGAGGGTCACCGTCTACATCAAGGCAGGCAGGTGTCTGGAGAGATGTGTCTTCTCCAGGGGCAAAGCCTGCTCGGCCCTTGGTGCTCCCAGAAGCTGGGGAAGAGGGCTCCCCGCCCTCAGGCGGGGGCTGTAGGGAGAGAGGCGCAAACAGCTCAGCGAGCAAGATGTAGAGTGTGGTGGGAGAGAGGCCCGGAGTGAGCTGGCGCGGCTGGGGTCTGGATGGGCCTCCTCCCCTACGGCAGCTGCTGAGGGGCTTGGTGGCTCCGAGGCCCCTTGGCTCTGTCGGTAGCCACCTGGGCTCTCCAGCTGCCCTGCCCCGGAGGGCGGTGGGCCTGGCGCACTGCACGTGCTCAGTGAGGCAGCTGCCAGGGTCGGCGCTGGTGTCGTTGTTCTTCTTATATCGGGGGCGGGGGAAGCGTCTCCCTCCTATTTGACACGTTCTGGTAGAGATTCAGCAGCTCGGAGCCCTCATTCTGAATACAGCAGTGAATTTGGAAGTAATTGGATTTCTAAGTATGAGGAAACGTTACAACAAATTCTCATGATCTTGAGAGTGACTTGGCTTGTCGGGTGCGCGGCACTTTCCCTCGCATCTAGAACCGTCTCCGGGAGAGAGGGTAGGAGCTCAGGGCATCCGCCGTCCTCTGGGCGAGGAGCGCTGGAAGTGGAGAGGCTGTCACGGCAGAGGCGCTGAGCCCCTGGCCTGGTCCTTGGCGCCTGACGGGTTCATGCCGCCTGGTGGTCTTGGGCCCCGGAGGCTGCACCTCGGGAGGCGGAGAACAGCGCTGGGTGTGGTGTTCTTCCCCGGCAGTCGTGACAGACTCGAGGGATGCTGATGGCCTGGGGGCTTCTTGGGCCAGTGGGAGAGTGTGGAGAGAGGCCAGATGCCCGTGTTCGCGTCCTGGCTGTTGCTTGGGACAGTCACTGCCTCCACCTGCGGGTGGCCCCCCTTCATCTGTGTCCGGTGCCCGGGGCAGCGGCCGGCCCTGCCCTCTGGCGTCGGTCAGCCTCAGCTGCTGTGTGCTGTGTGCGAGTCCCAGGCTGCGGGAAGACCTCGGTCTGGGCGCCTTCTCCACAAATGCCCCTTCTCCGCCCCCTGAGCCTGGGGAGGAGGGCTGGCAGTCTCCTTGTGTGTGTGTGTGGGGGGGGGTCCTCTGAGGCGGCAGTGACAAAGCCCAGTGCACGCAGGTCTGTGCAGCAGTGGGGTCCCCAGGGCCCCCCGCCTGGGCTCCAGACCGGCTGTTCCGTGTTTGAGCAGGTGCCCAGCACTGTGAGCCTGGTGTTGCCAGGCGGTCCTAGGTTGCTGCTGTCAGCCCCTGGGACCCGCCCCCGCCTCTTCCCGCTCCCGCAGCCCCCGGATCGTCCCTCACGGTAGCCGTCTGGCAGCACTACCCCCATTTCACGTGGCCATCCCGTGCCAAGTGCCACGGAGGAGAGCTGCCCAACCAGAGCAGGGTAACGCGCTCGCCCTTGACCTGGTCACTGGGACATGCAGGGAGGGGCTCTGCTGCCTGTTGGGACCCGAGGGATCCGGTAAGTGTCCTCACCCTTTGCCTGCCTGGATCTTGAATTGAGAAGTCAGGAGTATGGCAGAGGGAGACCAAAGTGTCACCTCTGGTACTGATGACTCTAGTGACCGTAAAGCAGATCCTGGAGACTTGGCACGGTGCTCGAGCCACGGAGTATGGAGCTAAGGCCAGACCCAAGCCACCCAGGCAAGGCCATACGGCGGCACCTTCTCCCCGCCACCCTGCACCGCGGGCGAGGACCAGAGTGAGCACCTGATGCTGTGTCCAGGCAGGCGGGTCCCAAGAGGAAGAGGCAAGGGAGGGCAGGGCTGTGGCTGTCTGGCTCCTACTCCAGAACTTTCTATCAGAGAAGTCGCCCGTGTCAGTGGGGTGGAGGGAGGCCCGGGCCGCCTGCTAATAGCCGCCTCTGTGGTATGGATGGAAGGGCGCGGGACCGGCGAGGAGCCCTCCTCACAACCCGCAGGGTCATGCCAACTCCGCCTGTGGCCTTTCACCGTGTGGTCTGTGCTAAACCAGGCAGTGATGTCGTGGTGCCCTGCCCCGGCCTCTCCCCTCGAGCCTGCCGTGTGTCATCCACTGGGGGGCAGTTCAGATTTTGTCCCCACAACTTGGGAGTGGGTCAGAATAGTGCACTGCCTCAATTTGGTTAGAAAGCCGCTCTGTGTTCTGTTTCTCGGCCTAAATTTTGTCGGGCCGTGCTGCCCGTACTCTGTGAAGAAGCGCTAATCATCGGTGTCCATGTAGGGAAGCCTCCAGTGTGGACACAACCCTCCTCCTGTTTCTAGATCCACAGGATCTGGAAGGCTCCCCTTGCCAGGGGCGGGGGGCAAAGGATGTTGGAAAGTCAATATCCAAATAATTTACACCAAATTTTGTCCTTACCTCTTGAGGTGAAGTCCACAGGCGTCCAAGCGGCCCTGCCTTCTGATGCCTGGGCCTCCCTGGTGTTCAGAGGTTCTCAGCACGGGGCCTCCCCAGTGTGGGGGTCCCCTTCTAGGTCTTAGATCTTGTGGGGCAGCCTCCACGGGCCTCACTCCTTAGTAAGTCACACAAAAGATGCAGGCCGGCCTCTGGCCTCTAGAACACCCCATTTTGGCCAAGCCCAAGGAGTCAGGGCATCGAGGGAGGAGGTGGATGAGGGACCCGTGGCTGAGCCCCACTGAGTTAGTGTGCCCACTGTCTGGACTCTGGCCCAGCTCAGGTCATTCGGGCCCCTGCTCGCAGAGTAGGCTCCTGCTGCCACGCTGGAGACCTGCGCAGCCAGCCTGTCCCGTCTTCGTTCTGAGGCCGTTCTTTCCTCTTTTGTTGACAACCTCTGCTTCTACTCAACTCCCCACTACGCCCAGACGCCAGCCTCGAGGCCCTGGGGGGAGTTGGCCTCACAGGCGGTTGTGGTCTCTTAGGAACACGCAGGGCAGACCCTGCCTCCCCGGGGGTTGACCTCGACAGGGCACCGAGGAGCCTGGAGTGCTGTGTAGACCCGTTGTTCTCTGTCCTCTGGAGCTGGGGCGGGCCAGTCCCATCCAACCCAGGTGGCTGAGGAGGGGGGTGGTGGTGATTCCAGAAGAAATTTGGTATTTGGGGCGGGAGGGGGGGAGGTGGCCACATAGTCCTTGAGAGGGAGAGTGAGGCCAGGACTGTGGCCCGGTTGGGCACCCGTGTCCCTGCAGGCTCAGCAGAGCATCCGCGCACAGCACGCACGTGACCTGCAGGTCATTGCCGCCTATCGGGAGCGCATGAAGGCGGAGAGCATCACCAGCGCGCTGAGCCTGGCCATCACCACGAAGCACACCGTGCACGTCACGCTGGGCACCGCCGAGTTCTTCGAGTTCGCCCTTCGGAACCCCCACAACACGCAGCACACGGTGACCATCGAGGTGGACAGCCCTGAGCTGAGGTGCGTGTGAGCGGCGGCCCCGACGGGGTCCTCCGTCCCCGGTGCCATCTCTGAGCGGGAGGGCAGGGGACTCGCCAGGAAGCACGTTTCTGCCTCAGCAGCGCGTCTCCCCCACCTTCTAGCATCATCTCGGACAGTCGGGAGTGGAGGTTCTTCAAAGACGCGGCCAAGCTGCACACGCCGGTGGAAGAGGACATGTTCCGTCTGCGGGGCGGCCTCGCCCCACAGCTCTTCCTGCGCCCCCGGGAGACCGCCCACATCCCCTTCAAATACCAGACCTTCTCCGTGGGGCAGGTGGGGAGGCCGCCCTTCCAGGGCCGGCTGGGCTGGACAGGCATGCGGGGGAATCGCGCCAGGCTGAGTAGCGGTGGCCCGTTTCTGCCTGTCCCTCCGTGCTGCAGGCCGATTAGCCTTCGGGTGTCACCTGCTCCACCGGCCCCTGCGCGTGCGTGTCCACGGCGGGCCTCGGGAAGGGCCGGCCCGTTGTCCCCTCTGAATGCTCTTATCCTCGTGGGCACAGAACCGCCCCCTTCCCTCAGAAGAGCGAACGGGTTGAAAGTTCCCAGCACTTTGTGTTCTCTAGTTAATGCTGTTTGCCCATGTCTTCCGTGGCGTGTGCGCTGCTGAGGGAAATGCGGGCGTGGGGGTTTCCAGTGAGGGATGTGAGCGCTACGTGCCCGTGTGATTGGGGGGGCGGGCGGTGTGAGGCGCGCGGTTCGTCCATTTTACTGACTTTTGAGGTCAGTTCTGTAGGACAGGGCTCCTCACTTAAAGGGGCCTGAGGGACTCTCGGAGGCACACAGATCCCTATGCAGGTTCTTTGGGTGCACTTTTGGGACGAGAGGTCGTAGGGACAGTGAAGATCAGGCCTTTGGCTTCAGGCGGAGCGGGGTCGTGTGTCTGGTGGCCTGCACGGCTCATGGCAGCTCCTGCTTCCTTTTTGGGGTAGCGAGGCTGGTTCGTGACAGCGGCCGCCTGGATGGTTATCGTGAGAGCAAAGGACACCGTGCACGGGGGCCCCAAGGGGACAGCTGTTTCTACGGTGCCTGTCAGCCTCCGACTCCCATCCCGTGACTCACTGGCGCCAATTGGTGTTTCACAGGACCCTGCTGAGCCGAGCTCTGAGAAGGGCATGGACCCCGGATCGCCCCAGAAGCGCAGTGCAACGCCGACCAAGCACGCCAAGGTAAGGGGGTGGGAGGCCTCTGGTCCCCGACATTCGCAGGGTCTTGCGGTGAGAGCCAGGTGTCCTCTGAGCTGACCCGGTGAGGTGTTCACGATTTCTGTTGTTACTCGGCCGCTGGGTCCCGGCCTCGGCCCTTCCCTGCCCCTGCTGCCAGGGAGGGTGGTGGCGGGGCAGGGCCCCCAGAGGTGGACTTTCGTGTCCTGACGGGGCAGTGGCAGCTTCAGCCGATACCGGTACAGCCTCCGGGTGGGCGTCTGGGGTGGAAGCGTCTCCCTGGCCGCTTGGCACCTTGCAGCTCTTGGTTTGTGTGTGCCACCCCACGGCCCTGCAAGTGCAGCTGTCCCAGCATGCGGCCACCACACACGGGGGTCAGACGGGCCCCGCGACCCTCGTCCGCGGCGTTCCCGCGTCCCCTAGAGTCAGCGCAGGGGGTGGGGGAGGGCTACTTCTGGGGATCCTCTTGCCACCTCTAAGGGAAGCGTGTTTGCACACACAGCTGCCTGCCTTCAGAATGTTCTCAGTGAGAGCTTTGGACGCTTGTCGTTAGGAGTTTCTGAAGCTTTTCTGGGGGAGACAAATGCCCGTTTGAAGTAGTTTGAAAGTAAAAACAGAAGCGACAAGGTTTTGCCCCATCGCTGCTGAGGACAGAGGATTCCAGTGAGTCCCAGATGAGGAGCCGGCTCCCAATGGCAGGCCTGTGTCCCCGTCTCACCGTGGTGGCAGCTGGTGCCCACGGCCCCATCACCAGTGCAAATGGCTGTATTTTACCTAGACGTGGAGGCACAGCTTTGCCTTGTTTAAGGAATACGTCAGCGCTTTATTAGGGTTGTCTATGAAATCCGAGAGGCTGATACCTTTTCCTTACGTGAATTTGGAGTTTGAAAGCAAACCCCAGAAATCTTAGGAGTTCACCCACGATTGCCTCAGTCTGTGTGCCTGACACGTGAGGACGGTGCCACTGTCCCTGCCGTGCCGCCAGCGGTCCACTCTGTGCTCGCCTGTCTCTGGTCTGTGTGAGTCCGGGCCAGTGATCCCCTGCCCTGCCTCTGCTGTCCACCTCGGACTCCTTGCCCACGCTCGTTTTCAGGGTGGAAAACGGGGAGATTCAACTTTTCTCCTTCTCCCTGTGCTTGTTTGCTGTGATTCTGCCGGAAATAAGCATTTCCCACCAGCAGTGTGGTTGCCCTGAAATGTCGTCTTCTTTTTTTAAATTAAAAAAAAAATGTTTATTTTTGACGGGGAGAGAGAGAGAGAGAGAAAGGGACGGAGAAGACAGCATGAGTGGGTGAGGGGCAGAGAGAGAGGGAGATCCAGAATCTGAAGCAGGCTCCAAGCTCTGAGCTGTCAGCACAGAGCCCGACGCGGGGCTCGAACTCATGAACTGTGAGATCATGACCTGAGCCGAAGTCGGACGCCCGACCGACTGAGCCCCCCAGGCGCCCTGCGCCTGAAAGATACTTTACACCAGAAAGTCAGGGTACATGTTGGACTCTTTCATTTTATGTATCAGTTTTCAAAATAATGAATTGTGCCCTAGCAACCTCCAGGGATGGCCCAGTTTTTGGAGTCTCAATTGTGAACGCAGGTTTATATTTGCTGCTTCTCGGCTGTGGCCGGCCTCGGACGCTGGACCTGCCCTCCCTCTGGCACCGCCCTCCCTTTCAAAGCACCGTTAACTAGGCTAACTCCTGATGTTACCAAGTCACTGGAAGGGTAAAACCAGAATTCGAAGCCTTCAAGGAGGCAGAAGTGGCAGAAAGCGGCTACTCGCCCCCACTTGTTCTAGGGAACAGAGGGAAGAAGCCAGAGATCCTAAGACTCGGGGGCTCAGCGTGGGCGGTGAGCCTGAGACTTGTCTCGAGGAGGGTGCCATCCTGCCGTTCAGGGTCTGCGGTGTGGACGGTCGCACTCTGGATCCAAGCCCCGCTGTAGGGAGGGCTCCTGTTGGGTGAGGCTGACCGGAAGTTTCCCTTCTCCGGAGCCTGGCTGTCCTCTGTGCTTCCAGGAGCCGCGTGGGGAGCAGAGACCTGGTGTGGGGGGGCCCAGCCGCGAGAGTGGGGGGCAGAGACCTGGCGTGTTATGAGCACGGGCAGCTGGGTCCCTGCATGGAGGTGTTTGGCTTGAAGTCTCAGTGTTGGGTGCAGTTCTGGCCAGAGGGTCCGGGCACAGATGATGGGCCCATGGGAGCTGCTCTCGCAGCCGGGTGAGCACGCGTGAGGCAGGGAAGGAGACCTTTCGGGTGAAGGTCCGAACAGGCACAACCACACGCAGCTCTGCTCGAGGGGCCGAAGGTGGGGAACCGGCAAAGAAAAGCCAGGATGGCGCCCCTGGAGTCTGGAAGGGCGGCTTCTTCGGGCGGGGCTGGCGGGGCACCCAGAGCTCAGCGGTGTGGATGGCGGGGCTGTCCCCGCAGGGATGTGGGCTCTTGGTGGCCGTCCTGTTACGATTTGTGACTTGAACGTAGTTTTACACGGACAGCTTTCTATGTGTGTACATCTGAGGGATTCCACGATCAAACATGCCCGCGCGGAACGTCTGTCCCGTGTGTGGAGGGTTTGAATGGAGGCCCAGGTTCTCTGGGGATGTGGGAAGGTTGCCTGCCTGCCCGCCCCCGTTCAGGGGCCTGGAGGGCTCGGGGAAGGAAGACACCTGTCAGTCGTCCACAGCAGTGCCTCTTTGGGATAGAGAAGTTAGGTAACTTTTTTTTTTTT